CACAGCCAATGGTACGTAACGGTAAATTTTAATGTAAAATTTGTGCTAAATTACTGTAAGTCAAGACATAATTTGTTTTATTTATTAAAAAGACTAATTATACCATTAGAATATTCCAGTGTGGACAAATGTTCAGAGCACACGCACGTCACACATGAACCGTAACTGACTGTACACAGCCAATGGCCCGTAACGGTAAAGTAAATGGTTTGTTTAAACTTTTGTCAGCAGAACTTTATGAAGTTCTGTTTCTTTTTATTTTTACTGTGTCGCTTCTCCACATTCTTTATTGTTCGCTTCAACATTTTGTTCCAAATTATGTTTAAAGTTTTTAAAACTGGTCCTTTAATTTTCATTACATCTTTTCATACTTTTGGTTCCTGACAGGTTTGATCGCCTGCTTTTCAGGGCGGCGGGTGATCATGTACACATCAAACCAATTGAAGATGGCCGCCACAGCTAATCAACCTTATTAAACAGAAAACTGACACCAACATCAGCTTGGAGGTAAAGTTAGGACTGATAGTAGCTGAGGGTAGTCTCCAACACAGACTCTAGGTTCTTGAGCTTGAGCAGAGTCAACCCTGGATGTCTGTTAGCAAAATATTTCATGAACCAGTGTGCAGATTTTAATAAAACTTCCAGAAAGAGACCAATGGATGTTCGACTAGAGCTCTTTAGTTTTTGAAGTCAACCCAATTCAAGATGGCCTCCACAGCTAATCAAATATGATCAACAGACGCACAGCTATAATTTGGTCAGTTTTATAGATATTGAGCTAAAGTTTGTCGTGGTGGTAGCTGAGAGTCATCCACAACACAAGGTCTGAGCGCCAACAGATCTCGACGTTCAGCTGCGTGTCACAGTTTACGTGCATTTCAGCGTGACGTCGACTCAAATCTGGAGTTTTACTGAAGTTTTCAAACTTCACTCCTTCAGCTTCAGCAGCTCCTTCGTTTCCCAGAATCCTCCTCTGTACATTTTTTAAAAATGAAAATCACCGTTTATTATTATTATTTTTTTTAAAGTTTTTACCAAAAGAGTCAACTCGTTTGTTCAATGAGACTTCATCTCCCACAATGCCCTTCACCATGTCTGGTTTCTGCAGGAAACATCCGTCTTCACAGATGAACGCGTTCTTCTCACGTGTTTTGTTGTTTTTTTAAAGAGGCGTGTAGAGACGAAAAACAAATATCAAAACATTCGTTTCATTTGGCCTCCAAGGTCAACAAGCCTCACTCGTTCATTTCATCACTTCCACGTGCTCGTTAGTAACGTTCGACTCCAGCTTCAGATTTAATCTCAGATTGAATCTGAATGTGTTCCCTTACTATAATGTAATTCATTCTGCCCTGTAGTTCTGCAGGTAGAGGGTGAACTTCAGCTGATTTCAGGTCTGACAGCAGCTCAACGCTGCCGCCTAGTGGACCAGAACCACCCTGACCCTGAACCTGAACCTGTTTCAGGTTTTAACCGTTCAAGTTGCTCCTTTATGAGATTACTCAACATCCTCGTTGTCCTGAAGCAGCAGCACGACGCGCCATTCCTGATCTCTGACCTTACAACAGCTGTTTGAACATCTGGGCTTCAGGATTCCGGTCCTGGTTTGATCTCCGGACGGGCCAGACGATTGAAAGCAGATCCGTCTGCTCTCTGCTGACTTGATGAAAACGTTACGTTCGAAGCCGAGTCGTTCGAAGCTAAAAATCGAGACGTGAAAATTCTGATTTTCTTCGGGATTTCTGCTCAAACCGGAACGTTCCGACTCGCGTCTCAGTACACGATTAAATGTTTTACTAACAGAGCGATCCGTGTTTAAAGTTTTAAAGACGGATGTGGCGGTGGCATGTAGCTCGGACTCCGTGTTGGGAGCCACTCTCAGCTACTACCACTCCAACTTTTACTTCTTAAGGTTGAAGAGCTGTGGTGGGTTTAACTCCAGATGTGGACCGGCTGCAGATGTTCAGCCGTGAGAGGGTCCTTAAAATCCATCTAGTGGTTTTTGAGATATTTTGCTAACACACAGGCCTTTACATCATCATCCGCTGCCACGAAAGTCAGGTGATTAAAAAATAATAATCACAAGCAAAGACAACATCTGTTCATGGTTACAGAGAAAACAGTGTAGATAATATTTATTTATTTGTTTATTTATTTATTGTTTTAAGATATAAATTTGCTCCTGGATGAGTAGCCGTTAGCTCGACGCCTCCATGAGATTGTCCGCACAATTCTTGAAACGGACGTCAATCAGAGCGTTGTCTGCTGCAGGTAAGACACTGACTGCTCACGACAAACTGCATTTAATGGAATGCATATCGCCCGCCAACGTTCACGAGTTTCAAACCGAGATCACGTCGTGTTGAGAACAGATTTAGCAGTTTGTCAAAACTTAAAGACATTTTTTTGTGTGTGATCGATCAGTGGTCAGAACGTGTGTTGGGGAGGACTCTCAGCTACTACCACGCCACTTTTTACCTTAATATTTGTACATTTCTCTCATGTATAACCATTTTTTCCTAGGATATAGGGATTAGCTGTAGCGGCCATCTTGAATTGGATTGACTCCAAAAGTTAATGAGACGTAGACGTAAAAGTTTTACTAGAATACATCCAGAGGTTCTTGAGATATTTTGCTAACAGACAAACCGGATTGACTTTAACACATCGAGTCTTAGCTACAATGAGTTGCAGCCATGTTTGAGTTTGCTTAAATGGCCTTGCTGTGGCGGCCATCTTGAATTGGACCGACTCCAGAAGGTCATCGTTGTGGGTGTTGATCCAACGGTCACCTCCTGAAAACTCTGTTCAGCTGTTAACGAGATATTTTGCTAACTGAACAGACGCGTGACGCATGACCCGTGTTTCATGAACGTTTGCAGAAATAAAGTTTATTATCCACAGACACAGAAACCGGCGGTTCTGATTCGAGCTGGCCGTGATGACATCATCTGTTCGGTCCAAACATGTGATTTAAAGAGTTGGCGGCGGAGCTGCGCCACAGAAAGGTCGTGACCTCTTGTGT